ATATACACACACACACACACACACACACACATATATATATATATAGATATATATATATGTGTGTGTACATACATATTATACATATATACATACATACATACATACATACATACATACATACATAAATATATACATACATACATGCATATATGCATATATATATATTTAGATACCTATACATATATACGTTGATACAAACATACATACATACATATATACATACATACATACATACATGCAGCCGTCACACTGATCCTTCATAAATCTTGAAAAAAACAAAAAGTCGTGAGAGCAAATTCGTGAAGAATACGTATGTAAATATTTACCCACAATGTATTTGGTTATGGTATGCTCTTTTTTAAAAACGACATTGGAAATCTTAGTTATTAGTTTTTGTTTTTGTTTTTTGTTTTTGTTTAAATAAAACATGGCCTTCAGTCCTGCACATATATACTGTAGCTGTGTAGCCTTCTAAATTGCCTGTGGGCTGCCCTGCGGGCACTGGGCTGTCAGGGGGGCTGTGGGACTATCAATTGTTAACCTGTCAGTGGTGTCTTCCGTGTGGGTTATATGTATCTCCAATTAAAATTGGTTAAAATAATTATTCACCAATATATACTAAGTAGTTGTTTTAACTGGCCATATAAATTACTATGATGTTCATTGTTTATGAGCAAAGTTAAAATTAACAATTAGGATTGATCACAAAACCAATCTACCTATCTTTTGACCGATTGAACATGGTATATTTTTAAATATTGTGCTGCCGAAAAGTTAAAAAATAGTTGATGGCTAAAATCTGCCAGTCTGCCACGGTTTTTGAGAATTTTGCCATACACACCAGAGACCAAAAAAGTAAAGATAGATAAAAATCATAGCCTTCAATCAGACATAAAAATATATATAAATAATAAATATTTGTTTCTAAAAATATATATTTTCAGTCTCTGTGGAATAGAGTCTTGGACTCTTGGAGACCCTTCTAGTTGTGTGGTTATGATTTTACATGAAATACTGCCGACTGTAAAATAGTTATTTATAGTGCACCATTGGAAATTCGAATTGAACCAAACCGAATCTGGAAGTGCCAAATTTAGGCCAACACCGACACTATTCTGATTTTATAAATACTACTTACTACACATAATACAGCAAGAGCTTCGAGATATCTTTCCTAAAATTACTATCTTCAGAAGTGTGTGCGTGATACGATGGCAGATGAATCCCCAATTCCGGTGAACCTCAGTGTTGTGGTATGTCGGGATCGACACCATTTTCGATGTTTTTAGTTGCAGTTACGCCTTTGTATGAAGTCGTGCTGTTGAATGTATATCCCAGTGCTAAGGCACAGACGTGACTCGGGTAATTCTATTGTCATATTGATATGTTTGTCGAAAGTACCATTACAGACAAAAATTAGATAATAAAATTTCCTTTAGACTTATTTGAGGCATATTTTCAATACCGGGGATTTTCAATACCGGGGATGTCAGGGGAATACATGCTTCCACCAGCATGTCGCAAACACACGGACAACGCAAAATGATACAAGTGTTATTGAGAATGGCAGTGATTCGTACCATGAGATTATGTGTGCATACTTACATACATATATACACAAATTTCCCACCCCCCTACCCTCCTCTTCCTCTCAACTCAAATATATATTTATTCATGATCTATATTTAGATACATAGCCACACATGTACACATACACACACAAACACACACACACACACACACACACACGCACACATATAGTATTATA